GGGTAAACCATCTCCATTTTAAGTTTCATCCCCACACACCTGGCTCTTGCAGCCTTCTCTCTGCCTGTCAGCAGACAGCACCAAATGAACTCAGAGCACATAAAGTTATTTTCCTCCTTTAAAAAATATATTTTAAAAATTATAAAAGTAATTTCATGCTATGAAAATGCAAGCAACACAGAAGATGGGATTCACAGATCAAAGCTCCCCATTCCCAGGCCCACTGCTCAGGGGAACCCCAGTTAAGCATTTGGTGTGTCCTTTTCCCCTCGCCCTGCCCTTGAAGGCAGTTGCCATGGAGATGGGGCTGAGGAGGTGGCTGGTGTGGCTAGGAAATTAGTTCTATGTGGGAACCGAGCAAATAAGTAACCAGAGTGAAGTTTCTCACTGTTGAAGAAGGGAATTAAGGGGGAAACTAGAGAGAAACCTGAGGTATTGGATTGGAACTGGAGGTATTAGTGTGAACTCATGCTTTTTAAATATATCTGTCCATCTATATACAGAGATAGATACGGCTGTATGTGTGTGTATGCTTCTATGCATGCATACATCTATTTCCTGTCTGCAAAAAGAGCCTAGAAGTAATGACATCCCAAAAGGAATGAACATCCAAACTTGGTTTCTAAATCCTATCTTCCACTAAGAAGAGAATTGACCCATTTCAGGGCAGGGGCTAGGAGAATTCGGGATGAGCCTGAAACATGTTGTCTTTTTGGCACAAGTAAGTGCTCAAAGAATGAAGGGGTCATGTCAAAAGTACAGAGGAGCCAGTTTGAAGGGGCTCCCACAGGCCAAATCTGGGACAATATGAGCATTAAAATAAATGATATGAATGAATTACATCTTATTGAATAAAATAGAAATTCATGAGCTCATGCTGACATAACACAAAATGAAACACTTACTGGGGAGAAGCGAGAGCTCTTCCTCAAAGAGGATGCTGACCATTTGTCTGTTATCAGAGTGGCGGTTAATTCAGGCAGGAGTCAGTAATGGATACTAAGGATATCTCCTCACAAAATATTTATCAATTAAGAGGAAAAAAAAAAGTCAATTTATGGTGAAGGAACCTGGCAGACACCACCTTGACTGGGTGATCAAAGTTAACATTGCCAGCGGTGGGACAGGTCAACATCATGCCTCCTGATGTGAGGCACTGAGAAAAGCTCAGCATCTTTCCTATCGAGTCCCTGCCAAGAGGGCAGGACCTGGGTCTGGACATGAGGAAACACTGGACAGACCCAGGTTGAGGGACATCCTCCACACTGAAAGGCTTCTACTCTCTGAAACTGTCAAAGCCATGAAGACAGGACAAGACTAAGGAAAAGCTTTAGAAAAAGAAAAATGAAAACGGGAATACGCATAGAGAGAAAGGTAGTGGTGGAGCACATGTGAAAAAAGTTAAGTGGGAAATCTAGGTGAAGGGGATATAGGACCTTTTTGTTTCTGCTCTTGCAACTTTTATTTATTTCAAAATGGAATTGAAAATCGTTTTGTGTGTATCCATCAATTTTTTTTTTTTTTTTTTTTTGCGGTACGCAGGCCTCTCACTGTTGTGGCCTCTCCCGTTGAGGAGCACAGGCTCCGGACGCGCAGGCTCAGCGGCCACGGCTCACGGGCCCAGCCGCTCTGCGGCATGTGGGATCTTCCCGGACCGGGGCACGAACCCGTGTCCCCTGCATCGGCAGGCGGACTCTCAACCACTGCGCCACCAGGGAAGCCCCTATCCATCAATTTTTTTCTGGTAAACGTATATATGTTCGTATGTATATTTGCCTACACGTGTGTACACATGTCCAGACGCTCAGGTCCCAACTCAGATTGGTTGAGTCAGAATGTGGGGGACTGGTACCCGAGCAGGTGGATTTTTTTAAAACTCCCCAGGTGACTCCAGTGTGCAGCCGATTTGTGAGCCAGCGCTGTAATCCAGGCTTCACGGAAATCACCTGTGGGGCTTGTTGAGCGTCCTGGAGCGGTTTCCCCAGAGAGGGCGGGGCAGGTACGCAGGCGCGCAGGGGAATGGGGGCAGGTGGCCGGGCCGCCGCCGCCCCCGACCCCGCGTGGCCCCAGGTGCCCGCGCGGGAAGGCCCGGCCTACCGCCCCCGCGCGCCGCCATGGACGCCGCGCCGGCGCTCCTGAAGGCCCCACCGGCCGAGGTGCTGGACGACGTGCTGCGGGAGCAGTTCGGGCCGTTGCCCCAGTTGGCCGCCGTCTGCCGGCTCAAGCGGCTGCCGTCGGGCGGCTACTCGTCCACGGAGGACCTGCAGTTGGTGCTGGAGCGGCGGCGCGTGGCCAACGCCAAGGAGCGCGAGCGGGTGAGCGCCGGCCCCACGAGGTCCCTGTCCCGAGACCCGGCCGCCTTCCTCCCGGCTCCCCCCAGACCCGCCACCCATTTCGGACACCTCCGGGGGCTCGGGGCACCCACTCCCCGCCCGGGGGCCCGGGGCGACTTCGACCTCCCGAGGGCCGCTCGTGTTCGCCTCCACCCGCGCCGGGATGGCGCCTCACCTGCGACCCACCTGGACCGGTGCAGGAAGCGGGTCTGGGGAAGGCCGAGGGGTCCCCTGACCACTTCAGAAACGTCTCCCCCTGGCAGCCGCTTTGAACCCTCAGAGGCGGCAGTGCGCTTACGTCTCACTACCTCCTGCGCTGGGTGGGTGCTTGGGGTCCCCTTTTCCCAGCGCTCTGCCTCCAAGCACAAATAGGGCGAGGCACAGGGGGCCTAATGGAAGTTACTCTTTTCCTTACTTTAAACAAAGAATTTAAACAAAGCCTGGGTGTGCACCCAGACTCCCACTCAACCCCCTGGCGGGGGACAGAAAGTGGATCTTTCCCGCTCTGGCGGTTACGCGGTTAATCACCCGTGGGGATGGTCCCTCGGGCGGAGTCGGAGCGCCATCTACTGGTAGCTTTTAGTATTCCTAACTACACTCGGGCCCCCAAATTGTGAGATTCCGTCTCCTTTCCGCCCTTTGCAGTCTTTGGGTTGGGCTGCTGCAGAGGCTACCGAGAGAGGGAAGGGCGAGCGCTGGAAGGGGATGTGCGCACATTCCGGCCTGGAACTTGAGGAGGAAGTTCTGCTGGGGGCTGTTCCTGCACACTCCTTGGCCCTTTAGAAACGTAGCCCCAGCCAATCAACTCGGAGCTTTGTTTGGGTACGGGTGTGAGGAGAAAGGACCAAGCAGGTGTAGAAGGCTTAAGGGAAAGTTGGGAGCCCTTATGATAACCCTGTGATCTGATGTGTTGATGTGGCTCTCAAACGAGATTCGGATCCCATAGTTTGCATTTTAAGTTGGGCTTTCCCCACCAGGAAGGAATTGCTTTCTGCAGAGAAGAAAGGGTCCTGGTGTTACCCACTATTTTAAAACCAATGACCTTAGTCTGTATAAGGATGAAATTAGTACACCTGGAAGACAGAGAAATGACTAAATAGGGAACGGAAACACCCACAATGCAGATATAACTACCATGAACTATCATTCTTGTGTATATCCTCCTAGTCTTTTTTCTGCTTATATTTGTGCGTATTCATAATCTTACAAAATTGCGATGATTTAGTACAGATCTTTGTATTTTTTTCACTTAACGTTATCAAAAGCATTTCCTCATATTCTAAGCAGAGCAGCTTTTGAATGCATAGTCCAACATATAAATGGACTGTTACTTATTCAGTCTCCTAGTGTTGGGCATGTATGCTTTTTTGCAGCTTTTTACTGGTACATAGATCTATGCCCATGTCTGATAACTGCTTTAGAGCAAAACAGTAGAAGTGGAATTACTGGGATATAAACAGTCTTGTGACTTTTGATACAAGTTGTCCAATTGCTTTCTAGAAAAGTTTATTAATTTTTATCCCCTTTTGCAGGCTATAGGACTGTTCCCTTTTTCCATCCCCAATGCTGGGTATGATAATCAAAACAAAAATGTTACCACCTTGGTACATGAAAAATGGTATCTAATTTCTGTTTTAATTTGTAGTTCTTTGATGATTAAAGTTTAATATTTTCATAAGTTTATTGAAACTTATGACCAATAAACTTATGAAATACATTATGACCAATAAACTTATGAAATACATTATGACCAATAAACTTATGAAATACATTATGACCAATAAACTTATGAAATACATTCACTGTATTCTGCTGTGAATGGGCTGACTATGTCCTTTGCCCACTTTGATGTGGGGTAGGAGGGAGCTCTCAATATAAGTGAGTGAGTATATTGGCTTCATGATGTAGTGGGAACCGGTTCTTCGAGGGCCTGTGTCCTCGGGGCGGCGGGGGGGCGGGGCGTTGATCATCAGAATTCTAGACCTTCAGAGCCAAGGAATTAGACCCTGGAGATGAAGGAAAAAAGGCTCTTCATTCTACTTTTCTAGTCTTGCCAACGGGCGGACTCTCTGGACTCTATATCATCAACTCCGCTGGGAAAGAGGTTGAAGAGTTGCTCGCACAGACCTGAATAGACGAGTGTTTGTAGAGTTTATTCATTATCGTTAGTACAACTTATTGAAGACTTTCTGTGTGCCAGGAGGAAGTGTTTGGTGTGTAATTATGTCACTTAATCACCACAAAAAAAAGCCACACCACGACAAGGGGAGTATTTTCCACTTTGCAGGTAAACAGACCAAGGCTTGGCGATATGAACTATCCTACGGCAGGCGGACTCTCAACCACTGCGCCACCAGGGAAGCCCCTATCCATCAATTTTTTTCTGGTAAACGTATATATGTTCGTATGTATATTTGCCTACACGTGTGTACACATGTCCAGACGCTCAGGTCCCAACTCAGATTGGTTGAGTCAGAATGTGGGGGACTGGTACCCGAGCAGGTGGATTTTTTTAAAACTCCCCAGGTGACTCCAGTGTGCAGCCGATTTGTGAGCCAGCGCTGTAATCCAGGCTTCACGGAAATCACCTGTGGGGCTTGTTGAGCGTCCTGGAGCGGTTTCCCCAGAGAGGGCGGGGCAGGTACGCAGGCGCGCAGGGGAATGGGGGCAGGTGGCCGGGCCGCCGCCGCCCCCGACCCCGCGTGGCCCCAGGTGCCCGCGCGGGAAGGCCCGGCCTACCGCCCCCGCGCGCCGCCATGGACGCCGCGCCGGCGCTCCTGAAGGCCCCACCGGCCGAGGTGCTGGACGACGTGCTGCGGGAGCAGTTCGGGCCGTTGCCCCAGTTGGCCGCCGTCTGCCGGCTCAAGCGGCTGCCGTCGGGCGGCTACTCGTCCACGGAGGACCTGCAGTTGGTGCTGGAGCGGCGGCGCGTGGCCAACGCCAAGGAGCGCGAGCGGGTGAGCGCCGGCCCCACGAGGTCCCTGTCCCGAGACCCGGCCGCCTTCCTCCCGGCTCCCCCCAGACCCGCCACCCATTTCGGACACCTCCGGGGGCTCGGGGCACCCACTCCCCGCCCGGGGGCCCGGGGCGACTTCGACCTCCCGAGGGCCGCTCGTGTTCGCCTCCACCCGCGCCGGGATGGCGCCTCACCTGCGACCCACCTGGACCGGTGCAGGAAGCGGGTCTGGGGAAGGCCGAGGGGTCCCCTGACCACTTCAGAAACGTCTCCCCCTGGCAGCCGCTTTGAACCCTCAGAGGCGGCAGTGCGCTTACGTCTCACTACCTCCTGCGCTGGGTGGGTGCTTGGGGTCCCCTTTTCCCAGCGCTCTGCCTCCAAGCACAAATAGGGCGAGGCACAGGGGGCCTAATGGAAGTTACTCTTTTCCTTACTTTAAACAAAGAATTTAAACAAAGCCTGGGTGTGCACCCAGACTCCCACTCAACCCCCTGGCGGGGGACAGAAAGTGGATCTTTCCCGCTCTGGCGGTTACGCGGTTAATCACCCGTGGGGATGGTCCCTCGGGCGGAGTCGGAGCGCCATCTACTGGTAGCTTTTAGTATTCCTAACTACACTCGGGCCCCCAAATTGTGAGATTCCGTCTCCTTTCCGCCCTTTGCAGTCTTTGGGTTGGGCTGCTGCAGAGGCTACCGAGAGAGGGAAGGGCGAGCGCTGGAAGGGGATGTGCGCACATTCCGGCCTGGAACTTGAGGAGGAAGTTCTGCTGGGGGCTGTTCCTGCACACTCCTTGGCCCTTTAGAAACGTAGCCCCAGCCAATCAACTCGGAGCTTTGTTTGGGTACGGGTGTGAGGAGAAAGGACCAAGCAGGTGTAGAAGGCTTAAGGGAAAGTTGGGAGCCCTTATGATAACCCTGTGATCTGATGTGTTGATGTGGCTCTCAAACGAGATTCGGATCCCATAGTTTGCATTTTAAGTTGGGCTTTCCCCACCAGGAAGGAATTGCTTTCTGCAGAGAAGAAAGGGTCCTGGTGTTACCCACTATTTTAAAACCAATGACCTTAGTCTGTATAAGGATGAAATTAGTACACCTGGAAGACAGAGAAATGACTAAATAGGGAACGGAAACACCCACAATGCAGATATAACTACCATGAACTATCATTCTTGTGTATATCCTCCTAGTCTTTTTTCTGCTTATATTTGTGCGTATTCATAATCTTACAAAATTGCGATGATTTAGTACAGATCTTTGTATTTTTTTCACTTAACGTTATCAAAAGCATTTCCTCATATTCTAAGCAGAGCAGCTTTTGAATGCATAGTCCAACATATAAATGGACTGTTACTTATTCAGTCTCCTAGTGTTGGGCATGTATGCTTTTTTGCAGCTTTTTACTGGTACATAGATCTATGCCCATGTCTGATAACTGCTTTAGAGCAAAACAGTAGAAGTGGAATTACTGGGATATAAACAGTCTTGTGACTTTTGATACAAGTTGTCCAATTGCTTTCTAGAAAAGTTTATTAATTTTTATCCCCTTTTGCAGGCTATAGGACTGTTCCCTTTTTCCATCCCCAATGCTGGGTATGATAATCAAAACAAAAATGTTACCACCTTGGTACATGAAAAATGGTATCTAATTTCTGTTTTAATTTGTAGTTCTTTGATGATTAAAGTTTAATATTTTCATAAGTTTATTGAAACTTATGACCAATAAACTTATGAAATACATTATGACCAATAAACTTATGAAATACATTCACTGTATTCTGCTGTGAATGGGCTGACTATGTCCTTTGCCCACTTTGATGTGGGGTAGGAGGGAGCTCTCAATATAAGTGAGTGAGTATATTGGCTTCATGATGTAGTGGGAACCGGTTCTTCGAGGGCCTGTGTCCTCGGGGCGGCGGGGGGGCGGGGCGTTGATCATCAGAATTCTAGACCTTCAGAGCCAAGGAATTAGACCCTGGAGATGAAGGAAAAAAGGCTCTTCATTCTACTTTTCTAGTCTTGCCAACGGGCGGACTCTCTGGACTCTATATCATCAACTCCGCTGGGAAAGAGGTTGAAGAGTTGCTCGCACAGACCTGAATAGACGAGTGTTTGTAGAGTTTATTCATTATCGTTAGTACAACTTATTGAAGACTTTCTGTGTGCCAGGAGGAAGTGTTTGGTGTGTAATTATGTCACTTAATCACCACAAAAAAAAGCCACACCACGACAAGGGGAGTATTTTCCACTTTGCAGGTAAACAGACCAAGGCTTGGCGATATGAACTATCCTACAGAGTTTTGTAAAGCTAAATAGTAGAGTTGGGTTTTAAATCCTGATGTACTGACTCAGAGCTTTTAACCACTAGCCAGCCCGCCTCTACCTTGCAGTGGGGATGCTCTCAGAGGAAGAGAAGGAGGTCTGTGTGGACCTAGACACGCCTCCCAGTCCATCCATCCCTGCTGCCAGGTTCATGCCCCTCCCTCTCCCCTTGCCAGGAAGTGTACTGCCAGTGGCTCTTCGGCATGTGCCTGCCTAGATTCCCCGCCCAGACAAGGGAGCTGTGGAAACGAGCCCTCACAACCGCCTTGCGTGGTTTGGGGAGATGCCTTACAAGTTAGCTTCCTGTGTGTCACTGTGCCTTTTTGCTTTCCAGATAAAAAATCTCAACCGTGGTTTTGCCAAACTGAAGGCACTGGTGCCATTTCTTCCCCAAAGCAGGAAGCCTAGCAAAGTTGATATCCTCAAAGGTGCAACTGAATACATACAAGTTCTCAGTGATGTTTTGGAAGGAGCCAAAGACTCTGAGGTAAAGGTTTAAGAAGTTAGAACAACGATACCCACCGTTTGTTGAGCCCTTTCTAGGTGCCAGGCAATTGATGTGTCCGTTCTAGTTAGTTTATACAGTCCTTTGACCTATTTATGATCCTGGTTTTACCGAAGAAGATGCCAAAATACAGGTAAAGTCCACACAGCTAAGAAATGTCAGAACTGGAGTCTGAATCCAGGTCTAAGCCAAGTTCCTGACCATCTGTATCCCTACCTCCTGTTGCTGTCCAGGGCATCTAGCTCCGAAGTGCTGAGCCTTTACTGGGACTTTGACAGCAGGGGCATGAGAGGAGTTTCCTTAAACCCTGTCTACGGCAGTGCTTTCCTTCAGCAGGCCGCACCTCAGGCAGGACACAGAAAGGAAGAGCCATGTCCCTGGGGAGAGGCCCTCCCTGAGGGGCAACCCTGCCGGAGAGCTCATTGATTTCCTGGTGATGCTGATCTCATGGGGTTTTGTGACCATCCAGTGGGACGACACAAGTGAACCTGCTTTGTAAACTGTGAGGCACCATAATGTCACCACCATTATTGGGGCATGTAGCTCAGGGGTGTCCATTAGGCAGTGGAAGGTGTGGGCTGGTTTCACGGGCTCATTCTATGGAGAGGCAAATGTATAAGGCTTGAAAATGGGTTAGTCGTCAGAGGAGGTAAAACTATGAAGAGAGAAAAGGCCTTAGAAATGAGCGCTAAAGGAGGAGCCATCAGAGAGGGGCAGGTGGAGAAGCAAGATGGGGTCCTACAATCAGGGAGGGGGCATCTTGGGAATCTGAGCATGGGAAGTCATTTGAGAAGCTGCAGGGGGGCCAGGAGTGGCTGGAAGTCACCTTGCTGTGTGCTGAGGGTATGTGGTTGGTAAATATCTGAAATCCAAGCAGAGGGAAGTGGCAGACTTCAAGTTCATTCAATTTGGAAGTCTGAGCCTGGAAAGAAGAATCAAAAGGATGGAAGAACAACAGTTGTTAGATCCATGAAGGCCTTTTCTAATTAGCTATGTGATCCTGTTTAGGGACAAAAGAGGACAGATAGTAGAGAGAAGAGAAACGTATTCATTCTAGGAACTTAGGGCAGAAATAGCCAAGTGTATAATGGTACTTTTTAGTTTCTTCCTCTTGTCTGCTAGTCCTACTTACGTGACTACTGGGAGGATACATTTTGCAGTGGTGGGAATGGATTGTCCTACTGGCCAAACTGGATGGCTGGGTTGTGGCATGGTCATAATACCTGGACAGGTGCAGGTGACTGCCTTAGTTTTTCCTTGCATGTGAATTGTCTAACAGAAGTGCTTTGTTTTGTGCTGCATTCATTATAAAATATAGAATCTGTCCCATGCTATAGTCTTTTTAATGCAGTTGCCAATCACACAACATTTTAAGGTTATAGTAGAACAAAATACAGTCTGTTGAGCAATGATTTTCTTTCCATAGTAACTTAAGCATTGCCCTCATTACCTAAATACAATTTCGTACATTAGAACTTTGAAATATATTGATCTAAATCTTTAAAATCTGTCATACTGTTTGACAACTAAATATGGTTTCTAGAAACAAGACCCAGATCATCAGAACTGTAGCAACAATACTTCTGAACCACATATGTCCTTGGCTAGAGAGCTATCGGGAAATATACCACACGCCGGTTGTGCTGTGGGCTTGAAGAATGAGGAGGAAGGGTCCTGGGCAGATGGCGGCAATGGTGAGTCGGCACACACTTGTCGCCAGGGGGCGATGTCTACAATGGGAGTTATCTATCCAGCCAGGAGTCTGGTGAATTGTTTCTTCTTAGTCATGTTGATGTCCAAAAACTCATAATGCATCCCTTGGGCATGAGGTATTTTCCATGTTAAAACATGATTGAAACAAGATCATTGTGTGAAAGCACCTAGGTGGGGAGGTGAGTTTGCTAGTTTGAAAGGTCTGTTATTATGTTCCCAAGTTAATTGGAAAGCTGCTCAAGGGGAAGGCAACTCCTCCAAAATCACCCAATAGGGACCTAAGCCTAATTTTTTATGACCCTCATTAATACATCAAAAGGTTTTCCGGATTCTGAGGTCTCCAGAAAAAGAAATAAGTAGCTTGCCCTCCATAAAGCTGCATGGTGGTCCCATGTACACACACGCTCACTCACACACATGCGCACTCACACACGCGCATTTGTTTTCAAGTTGGCCTTGTTGGAAGACAGAGTTTTCTAAGTAATAACAAAGGAGTTTATTGTAACATTATCACTTATTACCTTGCCAAACTAAGGAAGCCATTGCATGGAGCAGCCTGCTTCTCCAAGTCTAGAAAGTGGACGTTTTGCTCTTGCTGTGTCTCAGTGTTACACAAACAAGACCCCTTGTTCCATCCTCCAACACGATTGCTACTGAAACAAGAAAGGCTTGCAGGAGTCTGGAACTAAGCAAGTTGCTTAGCGTGGTATAAGGAACAGTGGGGGCCGTGGAGTAACAAATGATGGGTGGTGGTGGGAGGTGGTTTAGAAGAGCAGTTGAGTGCAGGCTCTGGAGACAGAATGCTGACGTTCAAACCCTGGTTTTACCACTTGTTTGCGGTGTGACCTTGAGTGAGCTACTAAAATTTTCCAACCGTCAGTTTCCCCATCTGTAGAATGGGAATGATAATTGTACCTACATAAGTTAACTGAGTTTCAAATGACATCATGTCAGCAGAGTGTCTAGCATAGTACCTGGCATGTCAGTGTTCACTTGGACTTTATTAAGTCTGCTTGCTACGCCATGAGCAATCAGTATTTATTTTTTAACATCTTTATTGGAGTATAATTGCTTTACAATTGTGTGTTAGTTTCTGCTTTATAGCAAAGTGAACCAGCTCTACATATATCCCCATATCTCTTCCCTCTTGTGTCTCCCACCCTCCCTAGCCCACTCCTCTAGGTGGTCACAAAGCACCGAGCTGATCTCCCTGTGCTATGTGGCTGCTTCCCACTAGCTATCAGTTTTACATTTGGTAGTGTATATATGTCCATGCCACTCTCTCACTTCATCCCAGCTTACCCTTCCCCTTCCCCATGTCCTCAAGTCCATTCTCTAGTAGGTCTGCGTCTTTATTCCCGTCCTGCCCCTAGGTTCTTCATGACCATATATATATTTTTTTAGACCCCATATATATGTGTTAGCATATGGTACCTGTTTTTCTCTTTCTGAAGCAGTCAGTATTGATTGGTGAGCAGTCAACAGTGGGCCCCAGGTATTGTCATTCTGTTTGCACCAAGTGGTCTGGGTTTTCTCACTTGGCTCTTACCAATGCTCTGCTGTGGTTTGAGATCTTACAGGCTCTCTGCTGACTGGCTGGCCTCGTTTCTGATTTGATTACTGTTTTCTAAGGATCCCACTTGTGCACATGCTCAGTCTAGATTTTCCAGTTCTGGCCACTTGAGATTTAAAACTTCCCTCTCCAGTCAACTCTTAGGATACAGAATTCCTATTCTGTTACATGAGCTGAAAGGGAATGACTGATAACAAAGAGCGAAACTGAAAAGGAAAAGAGTGGACTGAACCTTGAACCTGACTGTCTTAAGTTAGTAATGGTAATGCTTCCCCAAATGTGGTTTTAGTGTGTTCGATATTAAGGCAAGAATCTTGCTTGCATTTAATCCTCACTGGTCCCTATCAGGTAGGCATCACCATGTCATTCTCACAGTGAGGTGCCTGGCTAGTCCTTCCAGCCAGTCCCCTTGGGCCTGGTACAGAGAAGGCCTGTGCCAGCATCAAGGATGTACAACGGAAGTCCTGCTTTTCCAAGGATAATTGATCATTGAATTTACCAACTTATGGTAAATTGAGTTAAAGTGGGGACTCTTATTTTCTAGTAGGAAACAGGAAAGTTCTGGCTGGAAATTTTTTAAAAAGGCAACACAACACTCAATTTTTAGTCTTTTAGCTAACCACGTCTAAGGTGTTAATTGGAAGAGTGTGCTAATTCTTAGAATGAACAGAGAATCACATATTTGAGATTTTTTATGTATGTGTATAACTTCTGTCAAGTGTGACTTCCAAGATCTGAATGTAAAGAGTGCCAGTTTTTGCAGAAGGATTTTAGGATTTCATCAGTTTTGTCAGGGGTTTCTCATTCTTTGACATTCAGATCATTCATTTAAAAAATTAAAAACATTTATTCTGAAAAAAATCAACTTAAGAAAAGTTGCAAGTATAGTACAAAGAACTTTTCCCCTGATCCATTTGAGAGTAATTTGCCAACCTGATGGCCATCGCCCCTAATGACGTCAGCGTGCATTTCCATCAAATGGGAAATGGGGACGTTCACCTGTATGACCACAGTGCAGCCGTTAAATCAGGAGATTATGTGGCATTACAGTCATGTAATCCTCAGGCTCCATTCAAGTATCACCAACAGTCTTGAAATGTCCTTTCTAGCAAAAGGACCCAGCTAAGAATCATGCATTGCGTTTAGTTGTCCCTTCCCTTTTGCCTCCTTTTACCTGGAAAAATTCCTTGGTCTTTAGGTAACTTTTATGACCTGGACACATCTGAAGATTATAGGCCAGTTGTTTTGTAGAATGTTTCTTGATTCAGGCTTGTCTGTTTCCTCCTGATTAGATTCAGATATGCATCTTTGGCAGCAATATGGAAGTGATGTGGTTTTCTACTCATTGCACCCTATCAAAGGGGAGCAGATTTTGATTTGTCCCATTACTAAGGATATTCACTTTGATCATGTGCTTAACGTAGTGACTTCCAGGCCTTTCCACTTTAAAGTTAGCCCTTTTCTTTTGTAATTAATCTGTATTTTGTGCGAAGGTGCTTTGAAATTATCTAGATATCTCATCATTCATCAGACATTCTATTTTTTTTCTTAAAGTGATATCTATTGTTTTATTTTTTTAATATTTATTTATTTGGCTGGGCCTGGTCTTAGTTGTGGCATGGGGGATCTTTTAGTTGGGCCATGTGGGATCTAGTTCCCTGAACAGGGATTGAACCCAGGTCCCCTGCATTGGGAGTGCAGAGTCTTAGCCACTGGACCACCAGGGAAGCCCCATCAAACATTCTATTAAACTTTTTATTTTGTGACAGAGAAGTCCCATATTGCCTTTAACTCAGTTTCCCCCCGTGGCTGCGTCTTATGTAACTATAGTACAATATCAAAACCAGAAAGTCGATATTGGTATTATGTGTGTATAGTTCCATGTCATTTTTATTTTATTTTATTTTTTTGTGTACGCGGGCCTCTCACTGTTGTGGCCTCTCCCGTTGCGGAGCACAGGCTCCGGACGCGCAGGCTCAGCGGCCATGGCTCACGGGCCCAGCCACTCCGCGGCACATGGATCTTCCCGGACCGGGGCACGAACCCGCGTCCCCTGCATCGGCAGGCGGACTCTCAACGACTGCACCACCAGGGAAGCCCTCCATGTCATTTTATCGCATGTGTAGTTTTATGGAACCATCACCATAAAGCTGTCCCACATGCTACCCTTTATAGTCACACCCACCCACTGCCCCTACTCCTGCACTCTCTCTAACCCCTGCAACCACTAATCTGGTCTCCATCTCTCTAATTTATCATTTTGAGAATTTTGTATAAGTGGAATCATACAGTGCATAATCTTTAGAGACTGGCCTTTTTAAACTCAGCACAGTGCGCTTTATTTATTTATTTTTCACAATGTGCTTTAAATCATCCAAGTTATTGTATCAGTAGTCTGTTCTGCCTTTTTATTGGTGAGTATTAGTTCATGGGATGGATGTGCCACAGTTTAATTATTATTGTAGAACATTTTGGTTGTTTCTATATTAATTTTTTAATACTATAGACTTGTGGTTTTCCATTCAGTGGATTATTACATCATCATATTATATCATGACTTATTTTGTTACTCAAACTGTCCTCATTGTGGCCAGTGACAACCCTTGTAAGTGGGCTGCCTTTCCACTTGAATGCCACCATCATTCTTTGATCACTTCCTTTCTGGCAGAAGATGGTCCAAGCTCGAGCATCTTGTACTTTTCCAGCCTTGGAATCACTTTCCTCAAGGACATCCAGTGGGTAACTCACCTCCCATCTCCATACCATCTCCTCCCTGCATGGCTGTTCTCCTTACCCCTCTTGGGCTTTAGTACCTGTAGCTGGTTTGTTAGAGCTGCCGTAACAAAGTACACAGACTGAGTGGCTTAAACAGCAGAAATTTATTTCTCACAGTCTGGAGGCTGGACGTCTAACATCAAGGTGTTGGCAAGTTTGGTTTCTTCTGAGGCCTCTCTCCTTGGCTTGCAGATGGCCTTTCCTGGGTGTGTGCTTGCCCTGGTGTCTCTCCTCTATGTGTCCAAATTTCCTCCTCTTATAAGGACACCAGTCAGATTGGATTAGGGCCCACCCTAATGAACTCATTTTAACTTAATCACCTCTTTAAGGGTCCTAACTCCAAATACTTCCATTGTATTTTGGGGACCACAGTTCAGCCCATAACAACACCCATGACAGGCTGCCCCTCCATGATAACCCTCTCTAGGATGGATCAAGGTAAAGGGGCCAAGGAAACAAAGCTCAGACTGGTCTCTGTTTGCCAAACAATCGTCATAAGGGGTCATTCCCATTTATTTGAAGGGCAACTACATAGGGTTTCAGGATCTGCCCAGATACCCTAACTGGAGACCTGGGGACAGCCGATGTGGCTCATTGGACTGAAATGCTCAGATACAGGGGGGCTCAGGATTTGGGAGGCAGGTCCCCTCCAGCTTCAGTTTGCAGGAATGGCACCCTTCTTCCTGCTCTTGGAGAGGATCTCTGAGGAGTGGAATCTGGTGCTGGTAGAGATGGGCATTTGGAGGGACGTGGGGGTGTGGTCAGAAAAGGCTGTGTAATATCAACAACATTCCTGAGAGGCAAAATCCCCAGTGAAGCACATAAGAATCTGCTGACGGCAGGACGGGAGATGGACTGCTCGGGCCAGAGCAGGTTCACTTGGGGACCGAATCAGCAAATGAGTGTGTGCGTGGATGGAGAGGACATGGGCCAGCCGTGCATCTGGCCTCGTTAGGGATAGGGATTAATGTCAAGGTCCAGGGAGGTTTGTTTAAAATTGGACTTTCAAGGTGTAGGATTTTGTTCTTTTGGGATTAGACATTACTGGGTGGCAAGATGTTCACTAACCCACCATTGTTTATTCCTTCTATTTGTCACCCGTGGCTATGGCTTGGGCATTTCACATCATGCAAGGCTCTGAATTTTGCTGAGTTGCCTGTCATCCTGTAGAGACTGTGTCCCTGGACACAGACCACCCTCAGTGTTGAAGTGAGATGCCAGTTGAGCTGGGGCCAGAGGAGCTCTGGAAAGCGTTATATGCACGAACGTAAGTGCCTATTATGGGACCTGGATGTGCCGCCATTATACACTTCTAAATTTTGGCCTGTCATAGGAGCGTTCCTTGGAAAGAGTTTCTGAGAGAAGGAAGCCTGGTGGGTGGTAGATTTCCTCGACCCCTCCTCTTCAGGCTGTGGTCATCTGTGTGTGAAATTAACCACTGGGGATATTTCTTCTAATAGCAATTTAAGCTCTGAAATGAGATGGTCTGGCTAGTTGGGATGAATTTATTAGCATCCTGAGAAAGCCCTGAAGCATCTATGTTCTGTCTTCCATCTCACGTTTCCTCCAGGTAGTGGCTACGTGTGATAGCAAAAATTCCACTATAGTAGAGTGTGTGTGTGTGTGTGTGTGTGTGTGTGTGGTGTGTGTGTGTGTTGGGACAGGGGGTAGGTCTAGGCTTTTCCTTGGGAAGCACTTTTATCTGCCCCAGGATTTACCTGTGGCCTAGTGGGCATATTCTGATGAGTTTAGCCAGCAGAGTGTTTTAAAAAATTGAACTTCCCTTTTGATGGGGTAGGTGCTCTTTGGTTTGTCAGTCCCCGCCCCCTCTTACTGCATCTCCAGTGTAGGCATTTAATTTTGCAGTACTGGACCAAGGGCACTGGGCACAGAGGAAAGGCTGCACGAGTGGTTGCATTTGGCTCTGGGACATTATTGTTTTCTAACCTTCGGGGGTTTAGGGGTTGGTGCTCTGATGATACGAATGCTGGTCATTCTGTCTGGAGCTTTGCTAAGGTGAGATGTGGTGCATGCAGGACAGGATCCATCTAACTTTGGAGTAATGCCACCTCTGGTGGAGTGTTCCCCAGGCTACAGCTACTTAGGAAGAGATCCAACCAGCACCCAAGGAAGACCCTTAAGGCCCAATCTGATCAAGTAAGAAGAAAATGTTACAGGGAAGACAAATCCTTATTTCTTTGTGAAAATAAGAGAGGGAGATTTCTTTTGTCGTAACTCAGGTTTTTCTATGGGGACAAAAGATTGAATCAATCATGGAAGTGGGTTTTGTCTGGGTGTATGCATGTGAGTGTATGTGACGTGAAGCTTGGTGTGTTTGAGGAGATCTCTATGTGGTATGTGCTCCTGGGTCTGTCAGTGAGCTGAGCATCATTTGAGAAAGCCAGTAATTTCCATTTGTCTGACACATAATGGGTCTGGTGATTAAATAAATTGAAGTTAGTTCTCATCTATTCCTGTGGACTTTTGGAGGGATTATTTATATGAGTTTTATGAAAGATCTATCTCATTGGTCCCACATGAACAAGGAAGAGAATGGCAAGAATTGGATGGAAGGATCTCTCAAACACCCTTCTCTGAGAGGGTCCTTAGAGGCAGGACTTCTCTGATGTGCTGTGGGACCTCCCTGGAGACAGACAGCTCCTTTGGGTCAGCAGAAAACCACCAAATGCTCGGACCACATAAACCCGCCCCTGAGGGAGGTCATTGTATCCTCCCACCTGCCACCTTCTCCCCTGTTCTAATTCCGGGGCGATCCAGAGCAGATCAGGGATAAAATGTACGCCAAAGACACAGTATTAAAGGTAGACCTTTTAGTGGGAGGGTAAAGGGATTAGAAATACGACTCAGTTATTTTTCAGAACTCTTCCGGTCCTCTTTGGATCGCTCTCTTCCTTTTTGGAAGGTTTTCCCCTCCAGGAGTCGTCCTTCCAGTACCTCTGGTGTAGAAGACAGGCCTGGGGCACCTGCCTCATTGGGGTTGCTCTGAGGTGAGAGGCACTGAGGGGCAAAGTCCCCCTGCATCATGCCATTTGGGCCAGGTCCCCAGGAGAGGAGACAGACACATGGGGCTTTGTGGCCAAAGCCCTGCTCAGAATGAGCTCCATTTGCTGTAAGATCATCTGTATGGCTTTCCCTCCAGACAGCAGGCAGTGAGGCTGTGGCCACAAGGCTGGATTCTGATCTCTGGGTCCTGGCTGGACTTTCACACACTGAAGCAGTGTTAACAATGAGAGCACAGTTTAGACGGGAGGAAATGCCTCTTCACTTTCTACACTGTTCTCCACTTGTTCTTGAGAACCCCTTATGACGCAGATGGTGGGAGAACTCTTCCCCGTTAAGGCCTGTCTCCTTTGAGTAAAGCCGAGTTAGTTCAGCGTTCAGAATATTCCCTGTGGGGGCTCCTTTGCCTCCTAAGTGATCTCCCTCCTCCCTCTGCCCCTCCTCTGGTACCGTGAGGAGTGTGTACACTCCAGAGGCTGTGGTGGGAGCCTCGTGTGTTGCCCCACCTCTGGCCCAGCTAGTTCTCTGGCCCCTGATCTTGGGTGTGGTTGAGCTGACATCCGCTGTGGGTGTCCATGGCCCCCCTGTGGCTTCTCTTGTCTAAGCCACGCCATTCAGAACCCAGGCCTCTTCTCGTATCCCCAGCCTTCCCGCCCCAGATGGGCTGTACGGCTGCCCTCAAGCCCATGTTCCTAAAGATGTCCCTCAGCCAGTGCTCACCAGCTCCTCTGAGAGACTATATCCTGAGAAGTGGGTACTGATCCTTGCTTTCCTCAGATTCTACTCTGCCTTTCTTGGGTTCTGTTACCTTTGGAACTCTCCCCCATCCCCCGGTCAAGGCCAGGATGGCACAGTACAGGACCTTTCCCAGGGGTCAGGCAGCTTCTGCACATTGGTCCATCTTCCCTGAGTAACCACCTCCCGCTCTTTCAATCTCTTTTCCGTCTCGGTTGTGGTAGGCTTTCCGCTGTCATATCTTGCCTCCTCCCTGCTCATGTGAGCACCCCATGAGCAGCCATCTGAGCTCTGCCCACCAGAGCTCTCCCTTTCAACAAAGTCAGCCTCTTTCAAATGAGAGTCTTCCTTTTCAGACTCTTGTTAAGCTTGGAAATGAACTCTGAGGACTTCTGGTCGGTATCTATCCAACCCTTCCCTCCCCGTCACTCCACCCCCCAGCCTTGACTCAGTGGGTGGAGGGAAGGGTACACTGGATAGTATGTCAGATTATCCAGCTACACAACCAACAGCAGGAGTACACCCACCTTATTAAAGTTGCTGAACTGCAGGCTGGGTGTCTATTCCTCAGACGCCCTTCCTCTTGGACCTTCAACACTTGACTTAGATGAGGCCAACATTTTTAAGTGAACTGTGAGAATAAGACAACATCAATAAACTTCAAGTTTTTGTATTCCGATACTTAAATATTACAATCCTGGAATTTCCCAGCTAACTTAAAAAAAAAAAAAAAGAAACTAAGACAACAATCCGTAATACACTGGACTATAGGCTGATAAGATGAAATTATCCTTTAACCTTCTAGGTAAACGCAGCAATACATGAATTGTCTTCTAGGTTTAGAACATTCTGGTTGTGTAAAAAGTTTAAAAAATTTTAAATAAAGCTTCTAAAGCTAAATTTGAACTCAAAAAAAGAAAGTTTGATGACATGTATTGTGGGAAAAATAGATATTGATACTTATTTTGTGCCAGGCACTATTCCTGGCAGTTTATACGTAATAACCTATTTAATTTTCATAACTGCCCTGTGACTTACAAACAATCAAGTCCATTTTACATGTCAGGAAACTAAGGAATGAAGTTAAGTAACTGGCCCAACATCCAGTGCGTGGACAAAGGGTTGGGCATGGGAGATGTGGGGAAATAGTGTTAAACCTTTTAATGGTCTTTCATTCTAACAAAGCTCACCTTGAAATGTAAATGAGTGGACTAGGAAGTAAATAAATGTTTTTTAAAGCTAAATTAAAGCATTTGATTGCAGTATTTCATATTAATATACGTCCGGGTTTCAATTTCTGAAGTGCCTGACGATGATTTGAGTGACTTTATTTTTTTAGCTCATGGATTTAAGATGAGATTTCAGAAAATTGAGAAGCCCAGGGTGATCTTACCATCTTAAAAAAGCCACAGATGGAAATCTACTAATATGCTGGCAAAATTTTTTCCTACAACTGAATTAAGAAATTATTGTAAGGTGTATAACATTGTATGTTGTTTTCTTATTCTATCATTGGCATGTTTAGAGGTTATTATATAGTCTTTATAACAAGTTTTAATGGTTCATTAAATGGGACAATTTTCTAATTGTTGGACATTTGTTTTCAGTTTTTTGTTCTCAACCTGATGTGTTTAGCTCTTTTGTGTATTTCATTTTGTTTTTAGGATAGATTCCCAGAAGTAGAATTGAGTCACAGGTAGGTACAATCTGTGACTTGGTGCCAATTTTTTTTTTACATAAATTTATTTATTTTTGGCTGCACTGGGTCTTTGTTGCTGCGCACGGGCTTTCTCTAGTTGCAGCAAGCAGGGGCTACTCTTTGTTGCGGTGCGTAGGATTCTCATTGCGGTGGCTTCTCTTGTGGCGGAGCACGGGCTGTAGGCGTGTGGGCTTCAGTAGTTGTGGCTCACAGGCTCTAGAGTGCAGCCTCAGTAGTTGTGGCACGTGGGCTCAGTAGCTGTGGCTTGCGGGCTCTAGAGCACAGGCTCAGTAGTTTTGGCCCACGGGCTTAGTTGCTCCACAGCATGTGGGATCTTCCTGGACCAAGGCTTGAACCCGTTGTCCCCTGCGTTGGCAGGCGGATTCTTAATCACTGTGCCGCCAGGGAAATCCCACTTGGTGCCAGTTTATACTACTACCAGCTATGTAAGAGTGCCAAGCCCTTCATATCCTTGCCAACGACGAGATCTATTAAAATGATAGAATTGTAATGGGCAAAAAATGGTATCTTTAAATTTAAACATCTTTGATTACTAACTGATTTTTTGTTTGTTTTAAAACTGTCTGTTAGCCATTTACAATGGGCTCTCTTCTGTTTCAGGTTCCCTCAAGTATGAAAAGTGAAAAGGCTGGCCCAGGGCTATCTTCTACAGACAAATAAATGCAGTCTTGAAAGTTTTAGAGTCTCTTTAAAAAAAAAAAATTGTCATAATTCAAAGTTTAACAATTACCCTTTAAATGGCCTTGCCTGTCACAAATTTACTTGACTCTACTTTCTCAATTTCATGCACCCAGCTAGGGCCATATGGCACCTTCGTGCAAGCTCAAGCAGCTTGAGCACAGAGACAGTCATCGCGTTATAACGACTGCTCACAAAGACCTAGCACTTAATAAGTGGGCCTCTTCTCCATACTTTACATATGTTAATTTGTTCTCATAACAGTCCTGCAAGATAGGCACAACGATCCTTGCTTTATAGATGGAGAAACTGAGGCATAGAAAGTGTGTAGTCCACTTAGGCTGCCATAACCTAGACCACAGACTCGGTGGCTTAACAGAAACTTCTCACAGTTCTGGAAGCTGGGAAGTCCAAGATCAAGGCCTGAAGGGTTTAGTTTGCTTTTCCTGGCTTGCCGACAGCTGCCTTCTCTCTGTGTCCTCACATGGTGGAGAGAGGGAGCAAACTCTAGTCTCTCTTCCTCTTCTTATAAGAACACCAATCCTATTGGATTAAGGCCCCACCCTTATGACTTCATTTAACCTTAATGACCTAAAATCCCTGTCATTGAATACAGTCACAGTGAGGGCTTCAGTGCATGAATTTTGGGGGAACACAGTTCAGTCCATAGCATTCCACCCCTTACTCCACAAATTCATGCCCTTATCACATGCAAAATACATTCATTCCATTCAAACAGCCCCAAAAGTCTTACCTCATTCCAGCATCAACTCTAAAGTCCAAAGTCTCATCTAAATATCATCTAAATCACTTTTGGGTAATACTCGAGGTATGATTCATCCTGAGGCAAGATTCCTCTCCAGCTGTGAACCTGTGAAACCAGACAAGTTATGTGCTTCCAAACTAGTGGTGAACAGGCATAGGATAGACATTCCCATTCCAAAAGGGAGAAATTGGAAGAAAGTGGTGATGGGTCCCAAGCAAGCCCTGAGCTTAGCAAGGCAAATTCCATTATATTTTAAGGTTTCAGAATAATCCTATTTGGCTCAGCGTCCCACCTTCCAGGTCCACTGGGATGGCAGCATAACCCCACACAGCTCTCTGCAGTGGCCCTGCCCTCTGAAACTAACAGGAAACAGACTTGCCCCCTGGGCCTGCGGTCAGAGGGGCAGCCCAGATGCTCTCTGAATTGCCTGTGGATCATTCTTCCCTTTCCTTGAAGAACAGTGCATGTTTGCCACTGAATAGCTCTGTGGTCTTGTCCTGACAACCTTCCTTCATTCTGTCCTGCTTTATCTTTCCCCTTTAGTTCAAATTGGCAGTGTCTTTGCTGCACTTAATCCCATCTCTCTTCCTGGCCTCTGTTGAGATAGCTGATTAAGTCTATGAGTTGCACCCATGATCTCTTTATCAAACGGTTGTTCAGCCACACCCTTAGTGCTCTCTTCAGAGCAAGCTTTCTCACCTTTTGCAATATAGATAGGCTGAGAATTTTCTAAATTTCTAAGTTCTGGTTCCTTTTTAACAATTCTTCCTTTAATTTATCTCTCACCTCTTGCATTTTGCTGTAAGCAGTAAGGAGGACCCAGGGTGCACCTTCAATATTTTGCCTAAAAGTCTCCTCTGCTAAATATCCAAGGTCATTACTTTCAAGTTCTACCTTTGACAAAACACTAATACACAATTTAGCCAAGTTCTTTGCCACTTTATAACAAGGATTGCCTTGCCTCTGGAGTCTGGGGCCTCTCCACACCAATCGTGTGTGTTGCCTCCCTGCCCTGTGTGGTTCTTCCCTCATGTGGGTGGGGTTACTGTTGCTGGTGGCCTCATTTTAATCAGTGATAATGAAACTGAGCAGGACCCTGTGGGGCTCCTGGGCACGGAAGCCTTTCTGTGTTCCCCGTTTCTTATAGGGAACAGACTCCAGCCTCTAGGACCTTCCCTGAGTTCCAAAGGGCAGATTCGAACAGTTGGTCATCCAGGAAGGGAGGGGATGCAGAGACAGGGGAGGAGCAGCTAAGAAACAATAGTGCAGCCTTGGGGCAGGGTCCTGGTTCCACATCAAGGGATACACATAAAAATATCTTTAAACTCTTTATAGAATTAAAACCCAACAAATGGAAGATGTCAGCATTCTTCATACCAGAGAAGACCACCTGAGGCCAGATCAAAGGAACCAGAGAAGCTCATCAAGAAGATTACCTGAGACCAGATTAGAGGAGTGCAGGCCCTGCACACACCCTAATCTTGTCAGCAACCCTACCCTTGAACTGTTGCTATAAAACTCCTCACTAAATCTTCCTGGGTTGGGACACATAGTTTTGGAGGGGCACGAGTCCACTGTGTCCCCCTTTGCCTGGCAAAGCAATAAAGCTATTAATTTCTACTTCATGTAAAACTCTGCCACTGAGGTTTGACTCAGCACCAGTGCACAGAGGCTGAGCTTTTGGCATCAATAATAAGACTCTAAGTACTTTCACTTGTCCCATTCGGTCTCCATGACAACCCTGGTGGGTGGTAGGAGACTATTCATTTTCTAGGGCTGCCATAACAAAATACCACAGACTGGGGGGCTTGAACCACAGAAATTTATCTGAGATCAAGAGATGGAGGTCAGCAGGATTGTTTTCTTGATGCTTCTCTCCTTGGCTGTAGATGGCTGTCTTCTCCCTGTGTCAGTCTGTATCCACATTTCCTCTTCTTAAAAAGGCAGCATCCTATTGGATTAGGACTTACTCACATGACCTAGTTTTTTAATCTCTTAATTGTCTTATTAATTTACCTCATTGTCTCTCTGAAGACCCTAACTCCAAATACAGTCAGTCATATTCTGAGGTACTAGGGGTTAGGATTTCAACATAGGAATTTGGGTTGGGGGGCTCAAGTCAGCCTATAACAGAGAGCAAGTGCTGTTACCCTCACTTTACAGCTGGACCCGGGGGTCAGAGTCTTTACTGAGGCCACACAGTCCATGGGACCAAGACTGGAGTCCCAGGCCCTGGACCCAAGTTTCATTCTCTTTCCACAGCAGGCCTCAGCCATGGGGTTGGCTGACCTTTTACTTGTTGGGAGAGTGGTGTCTTCAGGAGATCTAGACTTAGAATTTACCCTTGGTCTTGCTTTGAAAGCCCTGTCTTCCCTACTCTCTCCTGTCTTAAATTTGATTTCCATAAATGAGGCCATAATTTATAGTTTATCTGGGAGGCAATTCCAGGAAGTACCAATAGGGGAGTGGGAAAATGATATAGGGAAGAAGAGCCAGACAATGAAAGATGCCTGCTGAGCAGGTGATGCTGTGGGCAGCTGGGGCTCAGTCCTGCTGGGGCTTCCTGGGAAACTATGCACAACACGCCTCAGGGGGTCCACCCCACACCTACAGAGGAGGGAGCCGGGCTCTTTATCCACTAACTCCTGATGGTCATAGGTTGAGAGCCGATTCCCTGGGGTGTCAATTCCTCCAGCACCTCCAGCATGCCCTGGGGAAGGCCGTTGATAAGAATGTCTGGCCCTGGAGAGTGCTAAGGACCTGTGTTAGTTATCTATTGCTGAGCAACAAATTACCCCAAACTTTGCAACTTAAAACAACACATTTATTATATCATAGTTTCTGTGGGTCAGAAGTCATGCTTGGGCATGGCTTAGCTGTGTCCTCTGCTTCAATGTCTCTCTCAAGGCAGAAATCAAGGTGTCAGTCTGGGCTGGGGTCTCAGCTGAAGGCTTGGCTGGGGAAGGATCTGCTTCCAAGCTTATGTGGTTGTCTGCAGAATTCATTTCCTCTAGGACTTCTGGACTGATGGCCTCAGTTTCTAGCTGGTATTTGGCCAGATATCACCCTCAGTTCCTTGCCACATAGATCTGTTAGACACTGCAGGTGTCTGTTACACCTGCTCTCCTTACAAGTTATTGCTGGCTAAAAACATTTTTGTCAAGAGGCTTGGAGCTTAGAAATAATTTTACTGCCTAACAGAAAGTCTAATTTTACCTGGCTATTGGAGGCTAGCCAAATGTGATTTTCTGGGTCTGACATGCAGTCTCCTATGCTCTTCTGTCCCTTGTCAAGGGCCAGGCAACTGCAAGTGAGAACTTTGAATGCTGATGATATATGATGGAGCCAGCTAGTTCTAGTTCCTTCTGTTGGATTTCAAAGTGAATTGGGAATTGAGTGAGAACTTCTGGAACTTCAACTAAAATTCCATATAGGCTATTAATATGGAAATTAATACAATGAAGTCTTGTTTCCCATCTGACATTTGAATAATTCCTAAAGCCACAGAATGGCACAACTCTTCCCAGCACTCATCATATTCAGATGGCATCTGGGAGAAGCTGGAGGGATTTTTTTTTAAGATTCTGTGATGGCGACAAGAGCAAAATCAAAGCAGAGTCAGTTTTTTCTTTTTTCTGGTGGGGGGGGCAAAGGAGAATGTATCAGCCTTATGGGCTTTATCAGTGTCTTGTACTAGTTCTGCTTTTTAAAGTCAAATTTTTTTCCCCTCTGAGAGGGCATGGGCAAGGTAGTAGTTAGAGCTCAGCTCTGGAGCCATGGTGCTTAAGTTTGCATCCTGGCTTGGCCACCCACTAGCTGTGCAACCTTGGGAGAGTTACCTAACCTCTCTGTGCCTCAGTCTCTTCATCTATTAAATAGGGTAATAATATTTCCACCCCATAGAGTTCTTGTGAGGATTAAATGAGTAAAATGCATGTAAACCTCTCAGAACAATGGCAGGAGCCAAAAAGAGTTTGCTATTATTAGTCTGAGAAAGCTTACTAACACACCAGGAAGAGAAATTTTTGAGACATGGTGATGACCAAGGGGATTTATGAAACCTGCTATTTCTGGACTAAACAAAAATTCTCTATTCCCTTTTTGGGTTCTAGTTCAGAAAAGGGCCTACCATACCTGTGATTTCAGGGCTCCAGAGAAGGAATTCCCAACTTCCCACATATTATCACTCGGCACCAGTAGTGCACAGTTGCCTGAAGTGTCTCCATAAACATAT